ACTGTCTTGTACTACTAATCCCCAGAACTTCCCCGGACTTATTACCTGGGGACTCCATGGGACAATTCACAGAAGAAAGTGTGTTCGGAATTAATTACTGGAAACCTCCACGGGACTATCTGTGGATCTTTGTTTGGAACTTAACAAGTGGCCAGAATCAAGCAAGGAAAGGATGGTATTTTGTTAAGTAAGAGAGAGGGATCTGACCATGATGGTGGTTAGGAATCAAGAAGTGTGGGAGTGTGGGAACTATTTTAAACTCAGACATACTATTTACATGTATATATTTGTTTGTACTAACAAATAATGGCCATTATTCTATGATTTGACGAGATCCTAGTTATCAGTTCAAAAGTGAAAAACCCCTTTCCATGGTATTGCTGTTTTAAATTGATCATATCTCTACATGTGGCCCAAATCATGTCACCAAGGGAGCAATCCTGTAGCCAAGGATATGTACTATGTATGACTCCACCAAAGCTAAGTGGAATTCCCACACTGTAAGGTGGTGCACTTCACACACTGCATTTGGGGTTAGCATGGAAAGGGTTTTTGGAGTCACTGTATTTAACATCAAAAATCTATAAAAAGAAGGAAATTATATACAATGGAATCATTTAAATGACTGTCAATTTTGTAAAATATAATGTGGAGAACTATTTCCCATGATTGTTTTTTAACAATATAATAATAGTCTCAGAATAGATACCTGTTATGACTGGAATTCTCACTGGACTCCAGACACTAACTTATATGCACCCACACCCTATATGCACCAATTGTCATTTTACCGGAATTCCCACCGGACTCTGTATGTCAGACTTGTCCACATTCAACTTCATTACTTCATGTATCAGTCACCCATTGGACTCCATCCCTGTCTATGTCTGACTCTGTCCCACACATCAGTTACTGCACCCTGCTTGGAAAACCCGTCATCCCTCTAACTGAGCCCCATTCTCATTAGTCAATGACCTGTCACAATTTGGACTCTGCTCCATTCCATCCCATTCCTAACACCAAGTTTGGTGTTTACTTATCTTGTTTTATGTTTGCTAGTTTCGTTTTCATTATTACTGAATTTGGTATGTTATTCATTCCACAGTCTATATAGTCTGGCAGATGTTGTACATACAATCCAGTCAGAAAATCAGCTTAGATTCTTCCCAGTAATCTAGTATATTTTCCACTCTAAACTCCTCTTTGAATTACACCGCTCTCACTAGTCAGAGTCCATGGGCTCCAATGCATCTATCACTCAACCTCCAACTTATCTATCTTGACTCCCTGACCTCTCAATCCATGACCTCTTGACCCACAAACTCCACCTGGACTCCCCGGGATTCCCATCTGCCCATTTAAAATTGGACAACATGATCTCTTGAGGGCACAGCCTATAAGCTGAAGCCAAGTCCTACTGGATTTCCTGCAGGTTTCTCTGGAAACCCTCTGTGTATACACTCTTAACAATATCACTGTGTAAAGATGGAGTTTTATAGGAATCTGATTTTATGACCTGTATTAGTAATCCTCACATTGAAATATATACAAATCTCATGGAATAAGATGTATTTTATGGAATATATTTGACTTTTCAAAAATAGTTAATATAATTCAACTTCATTTCATTCAGAAACTTAACCAGAACTATCATGGCCTACCACTACATTTTATTCCAAAAGGATAATCAACAAAATGATTATTTGAATAATTTTTGTCAGATGCGGGATAAACATCAATATTTCCCTATTCTCCAGGATGTTATTGCCTGATGGACTGGATCTGATGAAATATTATATTATTTGTATGTCAAACAATATCAATATATACTTGATTGAGTAAATCACTTTTATTTTTATTAGTTGTCCTCCTCTAAAGTTTTTGTGTTCTTTCTTAGTAACAGTTTTCTGTGTTGTGAGGTATCAGCATAATCTCATAAAGTTCTCTTAATTTTCTTTGAATTATTTAATATTCTCTCAAATTTATTGTATTTTTATTATATTCTATTGTGAAATATAAGGCCTAGTTCCTTTTAACTTCGCATAATATAGCATATATGAGCTTATATAATGCTATTATATCTTCGTTAATTTATTATAATTTTTAACTAATTATTTATATTTTATTTACTTAGTTATTGCTTTTCAGCACATCGTTTGCTCCAATGTGCACATTTTTGGAGTCATGTGACCTATTAGATAAGCCTCCAACCTCGGGATATCATTCAGTCACAGATGTGACTGTAATGACTTGAGTCATTAATTGATTCCGCTGACTCAGCATTTGCTTCCATCCTGGGACTGCAGCCTTAAACCTTCATATTCAAGCCAAAGATTGGAACCCTTGTCTCAGAGAGGGGAATCACATGATAAATAAAGGGTAAAAATTAAGTAGAATATGAGGTCATTATGACCTAAATAATGACCTCATAAAATAAATAAATAGTTAAATATTTAGTTATCAAAATGTATATAAGGAGGGCCAAGTTTCCAATAAAATCATCTATCACACACATTTTACTACACAGCTCAGAAGCTTATCTAATCATCCTAAGGACAATAATAGCCTTAGTCTAATACACTAACTGCAGGCACCTACACTTGCAGAATCTTGAATCTTTGTCAGCAACTGTTAGGATACACACACAGGCCGGGTTTCCGGAGAAACCCGCGGGATATCCAGTAGGACTTGGCTTCAGCTTATAGGCTGCGCCCTCGCTAGATCATGTTGTCCAATTTCAAACGGACAGACAGGGATCCCGGGGAGTCCGGGCGGGGTTCGTGGGTCGTAGGTCGTAAGTCGGGTCGTGGGTCGTAAGTCAGAGGTCGTGGGTCGTGAGTCGAGTTGGTTGAGAGAGATAGATGCGCCGGAGCCCGTGGGCTCCGACTAGTGCGAGCGATGTGAATCGAGTAAGGTTTTAGAGCGGAAAATATTATTAGATTACTGGGGGGAATCTAAGCTAATTTTCTGACTGGATTGTATGTACAACATCTGCCAGTTTATATAGACCATGGAGTGAATGACATACCAAATCCAGTAATGGCAAAACGAAACTAACAAAACATGAAACGGGAATAGTAAACACCAAATTGGTGTTAGGAATGGAACGGAACGGAGCGGAGTCCGAATCGTGACAAAGCATAACCCATAACGGGAAATGGAGCGGGAGCAGAGTCCTAAATCGTGACAGGTCATTTGACTAAAATGGGAACGGGGCTCGATTAGAGCAGTGACGGGATTCTGAGCGGGTTCCGGTGACTGATGTGTGGGACGAAGACGGACATAGACAGAGACGGGATGCGGGGGAAGTCCGGTGACTGATATGTGTCTTAATGAGGTCGAACGTAACGAGTCTTGATGTAACGGAGTCCGGGTGGGAAATCCTATAAACAGACGATTGGTGCTTGTAGCGCGTGGGGGCGTACGAGTTAGTGCCCGGAGTCCAGCGGGATTTGTCCGGTCGTAACAGCAACTCTTAAACTTAGGTAATCATCTAAGTTTCCCCAGCCTCACAGCTACCCTTAGGCTTGCTAAATACATAGTAAACCTAAAATAATATCCTTACTGAAATCCCTGCCAATACTAGATTATTCAAGGTCCAACATAAGTTTATTGAATTAATCAAGTACAAGCTTTCAATTAATCCAGTTGTATTTATTCTCTCTATTAATAAATTATTTAGCACCTTGTTAAATAACTATTAATAGTTACAAATAAGCATACAAGAATCCAAAGCTTTATATCAAGTCTCTGCTAAGTTACTGCATATATCCTCACCTTCTAGCCTCTATTCTCAAGGAATAGTTCTTTTATTTGCTAAAAGAGTCATATATTGTTCTATTGAACCTTTCAATAATCAAAATAAGCATTGATTTGAGTTGTTTAAGCTTAATAGCGCAGCTGATTAATTTATCAGTATTTAAATTACTGTACCTTTGCTTGTTTTATTATTGAAGCTCTGTGACACTATAGCATATATTGAGCTATCTAAGAGAAACCCCTGAATACATTACATGTGTGTTATTGTTTGCATACCATTATGAAAGGAATGGATTTGAATTCATCCAACATAGCACTCATTATAAATGGTGATGACACACCCACCTCTCTAGAGGTAGCTCACCTTTCTCCTTTAACAAAATTCTTGAAAATGTATATTGTGGCTATACTCAGTGAGGCTAATGCATGATTTCATCCATGTACACTTAAAATATCACCAGACATATTTTCTCTATTGGAGGATAACCCAAAACTTTAAAAGTTATTTATCCACTAAAGTGTATATATTTATATTGTTTGTTGTAAAATTAATATTTAATCAAATTCAGTTGATTAGGTATCACTCTGAAGAATGCAAAAATATTAATATTTATCCTATATCTGACACAATTTAGTCAAACAATCATCTGTAGATTATTCTTTTGGAATAAATTGCACAATAGGGATTGGTATCCCAGATAGTTCTGGTTAACTCTCTAAACCAACTAAATTCAAATTATATAAAATATATTTGAAAGTTTGCTTGTATACAAGAGAATACATCATAACCCAAAGATTAAGTCATAACCCAAATAATCTTGTTTAACCCAAATAATCCAGGTTAAACCCAAATAATTTTGTGTAACTATATCATTTGTATATATTTTAAAAGGGCATACATATTTTAAAGATGAAATTTCAGGTAATTAAATATAAACTCATAGAATAAGTTGTCATGGCTAGAAAGAATAGTCTCACTTGGAAAATATGAGGATTATTCAGTAAAATTTTGTATATTCAATAAAGTGTGACCATCTTCCATTGAGTTATAAAGTATACATGTACAGTATGTATGTTGACACTGCCAAACATTGGAAGCATTTTGTGAATCACTGCAATACCAACCACTGTTCTACATGTATATTGTATACAGCTCTGAGTTCAGTGTGTACATATATAATTTAATAGGAAGGCACTTGAGGTTATGTCCTTGAATACAGTGTAACATGGGATCTACATAAGGTCAGGTGGTGTAGTGGTAACATCCTTACTATACATATATGTGAAAGATCCTGGGTTCAATTCCCAGTCTGGCCATTAACTTGTCTACATTTTATGAATAAGTATGGACTCATGTCGCATCAGTGACTTGTGGAGAGATAACAGCAACATAAAGAGTTAAGGTGGGAAACCTATGCTGGACAGATGTCATAACAAGCGTATGGCACAACTCTGACCTAAGTGAATAGGTGATGTGGCAGAATCACAAACAGACAGACTATGGGAACATATCCTGTGAGCATACAGGTTTTATATTCAAAGATTTCTTCACCACATTGAGCCCTCTAGTAAATGTGCCAGTTAGAACCACTTCTTGTATCTACCTGAAAAGCTTAATCATTCCAGGAATTGAGCAACTACATGGGGGGGAGGGGGACCAGCAGTTTGTAGGCATCAGCACCCCAGTACTTGCATCTTTACCCAATAGAACAGATCCAAAATTTCAGTAAGGTAGACGTGTAATATCTGAGGTTGCATACAAAAATCTCCTTGATGGCTTCATTATCAAACAAGGATACCTTCCACATTCATTATAAAGTTATAGGTAATGTCTTCCTGACCACCCTGAGGTCACCACTTCCAATGGCAGTTTTGTTACCCTTCTGCTTTTGCAGGATTGGGCTGCCTAGTAACATATTAGGGAACAATCTTGATCTGACTGAGAAGTTTAGGTCTGTCTCATATCAAGCTGAAAATGGGTGGGCTAGTGATTAATTCATTCATTGGAAATAATTTAAGAGAGTAGAGTCCACTTTCTGTATAAGATGGGAAAATGACGAGGTGACCATGTCCATAGCTCCAACATATCTTGTACAAACAGCTCTTGGCTGTACTTTTCGGTTCCTTCAGAGCTGCCCAGCCATATAACACACTCCACTGCAGGTTAATCAATGCCATCAACAAGGTGAAAGAACCTGGTTCATCAAAGGTAGCTAAACTGAATAATTGTGCATAGTGCCTTCCTCTTGTTTATTTCTGTTTCAAATTCACTGGGAAATTTTCCAAGGTCACAGTGAAGTGGCTTAGAGCTGTAGAAACATCATTTTAACAAGGGAAAGGATGATATTGGACTTGGCTGGTCAATTGATCATAAGTGATCAACCCAAGTTTACATATAATCTGTTTAGCACTGAGAAAAGGACGGTGGAGAGAGGGACACTGATATTAGGTCGACCTTTGATGAACTCGCCAATTTAGATCCTTTTTCTCATATCATCAGTGACCAGCCAGACTTCTCCTATGTCATCATGCATCACGGTAACGACAAGGATCAAGGGCATTGCTGGGAATTTGGGTCGCAAGGTCACATCAGGGTGGGATGACTACCTTTGCAGCTGGAGTGCGACCGCGACCACGCCATCCGTGGCCTTGAATCTGGAGTCCTTTGTGCAACCAGATTATACGGACTAAGTCTGGTCCCTCTCTTTGGATGCCCGCCAAACGAGGTTCGATAGTAGGAAGAGGAATGCTAATCCCCCGCAAGCATCAGTTGATATTCATTTGTCTGTCAGTATCGTATGGGTGAGGGTGACACCAGGAAAATCAACACCACGCAACACCACGAGTAGACATCTTATATTAGCAAGATGCCTCCATGGTGCGCTTCGAGTGGATCTCGTATACATTTGACTTCTTCACACTCGGTAGGAAACTCACACCAAAGAGTGGCATACATCCGTGTCAAGTCTGTTCGCGGCAAGGAAAGGAAACATCTTGTGCTCGGAGGGGTTGGGCAACCGACCATTGGCGATCGATCCAAATGTGTGTGATTTGTTTGGTCCCTGAGAAGAGCACAGTATGGAACTAGAGCGTTCTCAAGTGTAAGGAAGAGTCATCTTCGCCCAAAGTATTGAGGAACACTTCTTGTCCAAAGTGGAGTGAGCAATCAGGCGAACTTCGGTTGAAACAGCGGCAGGGGAAGAGTAACGTCTGCTATTGTGGTAAAGAGAAGAAGAATTTCTTTATGGCCTTAATACCATCCCTGAGATCTATGTCGAGAGGTGTATTCGCTTCGTCCAGAATAAACTGGATACGCGGCTAGACCTCGAAGACACGAATCTTTATGATGTACCAGCAATCCACTGTGACGTAAATCCAATACCCGACGTGGGATAGCAACCACCACGCCGACTGCTCTTGAAGTCGGGCATATGGATTACTAACTAATGCCACCTGTGAAGAGCCTAACTTAAAGTCATCCGTAATGACCTAAAGGAAGAGATTTGCTGGCAATTTTGGTCACGCATGAGTGAGAGGATTAACTTGTGCAGCCTGAGTGCGACTGAAAACACGCCTTTCCCGCCTTCAATCGTGCCGTCTCCGAGCAGATTTTCGCCCCTCACTAGTCTAGTAGTTCATGAGGAATTAACTCGTTCTTTTTAACATGCGTATGCGGTCGGAAATAACATTGGGGGCAGGGAACTGTAGAGTGGACGGGTGTCAAATGGACGTTTGACAATAATCGGCTGAGTGTTTAGTATTGATACGGGATGACACAGGTTTACAAATCGTATTATCGTAACGGCGGCGGCGGTTGCTTGATCATGAGAGAACACTGGAACATAATACTATTAAAGCTAACGCAAATTTTAAGTAGGCTGGAGAAGTAGAAAGGTAGAAAGGGGACATACGAGGTGACGTCAATGACGTGGTAGCTTTCAATGCAACGCTGCAGCCTGGATGCCTTGCATCCTACACAAGGCTGATGCTATCGGGAGCGAAGAAAGGCAAATGTTAAGAGCGAATCCCCAGAGAGTTGGGAGTTTCTGTAGTATCCGACTGATCTATTAGTTTTATTGCAGCCACTGCTGAATAAGAAATAGCTTTCGGCGGCCAAGCCGTGACTTGGTGAAACAGAGTGGGAGGAGGCTAGAGAGGCTATGTCGCGTACTTGTAGGTGCCAGTGCAATAAAACATTATTGAGAACTAGCCAGTGGGCAGATATGTGAAGAAAAGCAGCAAGAGTGGAAGGTAATATAGAGAAAAGTATGTCATAAGTGCTGACGATACAGCCGTCATGCAGCGCCGGAGCGACGAGAAGGACGCAGACGAAAAGGAACGAGCTAATCGGGTGGACTCTGCGGTGTTCCCGTGGGCAGCGGGAACGTTCTAAGGACAATGGGTGTGGGTGGAAGAGGAAGAGAACGAGTTGAATGAGAAGCCTGGGATGCGCCCACACCGCAAACAAGAGAGATGCGACGTTATTGGCTTGGAAAGCGCCGTCGACATCTACTCTACAACACCAACGATAAATTGGAAAGACCTGCATCGTGGAAGATAGATAATGTCCTTCTGCCAGCATCTGGTTCACTATTTCCGGAACGAACACATGCTGTTTCCAGTAAATGGTTGACCCAGAGTATGCCAGGATTGACCATTAGGGTCGACAATCGGCAGGCTGGCAACAAAGTCAAAAGCTCAGCCATTGAGAGTTTCGGGAGGATGGTGAACGATAGGTCGGTCAATGGTATCCATCCTGCATGTTATTGCTACTATGGCATTGGTTGAAAGGGCGCTTACCTTTGATGCAGGATGATGGCCGGAGATCGCCGACATCATGAAAGCATTTAAGGGTTGATAAGAATTTATGAATATTAAGCCTCATGGCTTCATTTCAGTTCAAGGCTCAGACCGGTATCCCTGAGGTGTCACGGGATTGTTCCCGTTCCATTCGTCCCTGTTCCCCGATACCCTGCAGTTTCCAAATTAAAACATCATATTTAGAATCGGAAGAGACTTACCATGAGCAGGGCCCTCCATATCTGATTCGAAGAGAAGGTTCAGAGCAGTGTTGCACACGTCATAGTTACACGTGAGAGTCACGTGTTTTTCAGTCTCACCAACGCGTTGTTACCCGGCATTGTCATCATTTCATCGTTTTGTCTCCTCGACGTTTGCTGGCGGATCATCAAATTCTTGCATTGTAGTTGTCATGGCGGTTTCACACAACATCTGAACTGCTGGTAACATGTCATTGGGTTTGCCGTTTTCTATGTTTTGCACGTCTGATTGGTCCTCCTGACACTGGAGTTGGGTGGTGTGCTCAAGACATTCCATCCCTGCATGTGGGAGTTGTGCGGGTGTGTCGGTCAACGTGTTTGCACAACGTGTTGGGTGCTCATAGGGTCCTTCCCTCCTGCAACCGGCGCGTCGTTCAAAGTGATGATGACTGATTCATTGAACTTCATGTTGGGCTCTATGGCGATGTGTTGTTTCCAGGCCAATAACCGTGGTACACTTTGTTTTTGCTGCTGAAACCTACCTGGTGCCCTTTGTTGGCCTTGGGTTCTAGTCTCCTGTGGTATTCTTTGACGGTGGGAAATTGATGGTAATTGGATGGCATGTCATTTGATGGTGCTGAATCATATACATCAGTTTAAGTGTCCTTGTGTGGACTTGTTTCCTGAAATAAGGTGAATCTTGGGAATCTTGTTATTAATACAAAATCCATACTTGACATAGTGATATTTGCATTTTTGTCTATATTATTATTTATATTATTATCTCTTTTGTTGCATTTTTCTTAGTTTGCAACAGTTGGCTGTGAAGTGGCCTATCCTTTCACAGTTCTAGCATACAATGTTCTCAGATCATCTCTCTAGCCTTTTGTAGTTTCTGAGCTTACCATGACCTTTCAATACTGCCATTGCCATCTCTGAAGCTTTTGTCCTCTTCTTGTTGATAGTGATATGTTCATATACCTCAATTATAGCATTAACAACTTTGGCTATTTTTAGAGATATAGCCAAGAAATTTGCTGATATTGATATGATGCTAATGAATAGACAGCACAACTTACAGAAGGTAGTGATCTAAGGACAATAGTAACCAAATTATCATTTGAGAGTTTGGTACCCATGCCTTTGAGTTGAGCCTGCATTTTCATCAACTCATTAAGTTGTCTTGACTGCTGAATCATCCTCACATTTCATTCTGTACATTTGACATCTAATATCTATCTATACAGATAGTGGCTTCTCTTTATACTCAGTGTATAATACATTCCCACTTCTTTTGCCATTTGAAACTTTTAAATT